CCATGTGCTAGTACCCCCAAGTCCCTTGTGTTGCAGCGTTCTGCTATTTTCCTCCGTTTAGATAATATTTTGTTCTTTTTTTTCTCCCTTCTAAAATAAACAACTTTGCATTGTCCCACGTTCTACTCCATATGCCAGCTTTTTGTCCACTTACTTAACCTATCAAAATCTATCTGTAATCTGTTCGTCCCTCTCTCTCTCTGTCTGTCACAACTTGCGTTTCCACTTATTTTTGTGTCTGCAAATTTGGCTGAAGTACATTTGCTTCCTTCCTTCAAGTTTTTCATATATATTTTAAATAGTTTCGTTCTCAGCACACCAATACACTATCTCCAATGCCATCGGTTCTTTTATACTGTCCCTCTTGAGCCACATGCTCAGTTGATCAAACCACCTGTTCTGTGCTCACTAGCATCATTTCCAGTTGTAATTGCTTCAGTGTTGGGTAGCATGTCTTCATTGCCTTGGTCCCTAATTCTGTAATTTCATGTATGTATGTATCCCTCCGTCTCTGCATTTCAGAGCAGCTCTTCAAACCTTTTCAATCAAGTTTTAGCCCCCTGACCTAATATCGCCTTGTGTGGCTCAGTGTGATAGTTTTTATAATAATGTTCCTAGGGAATGTCATGGGACATTTTGTTACTTTAAAGGCAATGTTATATATTTATTTTCCAAAGTCTGCCATGACTTATCGACATTTAACAGATCACATTTTCTTACGAATTTCACTGCAATACTCTAGTATCCTTCTGACTTGCATTGCAGGCAGAGGCAGTCAGTGATGATAGGACAGGGATTGGCAGTGAATGCTGGCTTAGCTAGTGAAACTTGTATTCCATGAAACAATCTTCACCACTAAATTAGTCCCTAGATGAAAGGTTTTGGCTTGTAATCTTAAGAGTTCCAAAGAATGAGAGTTTATCTCATTCACACATACAAGATTCTGAATAGGCTTGATAGGGTAGATCGGACAGAATGTTTCTTCTCGTCAGGGAATGTAAACCATGAGAACAGACTGTCGGAATAAGGGGCTGATTGTTTTTAGGATTAAGATGAAAAATTAATTTACTGAAAGGATTGTAAATCTTTGGGATTCTCTACCCCTGCTGCTTATTGATACTCCATTATTAAATATATTTAAGGCTGGAACCGACAGATCTTTCGGGTCTTGGAATTGAGATATAAGGGCAGCAGGTGGGAAAGTGAAGTTGAAACCCATTGGATGGCAACTGAGGCTCGTTAAGCCGTATGGTCTATTACTTCTAATTCTTGTGTTCAACTCTCAAAATACTTATAGTAGGAAGTGAAACTGCCAAGGCCACACCATGTTTTCCCTTTGGTAGTATCACTTCCACTGCTCGAGTGGTTCAGACTCCAACATTGGAGGGTGTTCATACCCTGACAACTTACAGTTGCAATATACTTTTTTGTTACTTGGAATATTGCTTTCTCTGGAAACTCTTTTCTTAGTTTCCAACCTTTACCTTTCAGTAGCTGTTGTCATCTGCTGTGTTCTATTTCAGGAAGCCTCATGAAGATTGAGACATCTTTATGTACAAGATTTTTGTATTAGTTCACAGGATATGGGTGTTGCTGCTGGGCCAACATTTATTACCCATCCCTAATAGCCAAGAGGAGAACAGTTAAGAGTCAACCACATTCGTGTGGGTCTAGAATCACATGTAGGCCATATAGATAAGGATGTCAGATTTCCTTTCCTAAACAACATAATTGCACCAGTGTTTTTTTTCTTTTGTTAACAACAATCAGTGATTGTCTGGTCACTATTAGGTGCATTTTGTATTCCAGATTTGAATTCCCATTTCACCATCTGTCGTGCATATTCTTAATACATATGTTCTTATCCACCTTGGTGCTTTCTAAACAGTGCTGCCTGTGTGGAGCACCACACAGGATGAATGAATGCTGCTAATGTAAAGAAGGCTGGTCGGAGACCCCCGATGATGACCTTAAGAGGCTGAATTGTGAGGACGATGCATCATAGTGCTGTATACCAGCATGAGCTTAAGGCGTTTTGTTGACAGCTGTAATGGCAATGGTGAAGTGGAGGGAAGGAGCAGGAGTTCAGCCATCTATAGAGAGACTGATTGTTTCCTGTTCCATTATACCCATTATATCCATGCTACTACTTTGGGGGTGAGTCTGTTTAGCCAGCGTAGTGATCTGGATACAGATGTGCTAGTCTCTTTCAAAAAGGAAACTGGAGCCAGAAATGTCAGATGTTTGAGCTTCCACTGCAATTCGTTGATACGTGGAGAACGCAACACTTTGAAAGTTGCAACGACTGCAATGGGCACTGTATCCTCTGTCGTCAGATGCAGCAAAATGTTGAACCGCCTATGCTGTCAGATGGAATTGTCCAGACTCTGAAATGGATGGGATGAGTTCCAGGCTGTGAATAAAGCCATGGACCAAGTTGCAGGTGGTCTTCTCATTTTGCAAGCCACAATCTTAAGTTTTCAGGCAGGTTTTCATTCCATCAGGTATTTGGGTGTTTACGGCAATCGGTCACTTTCTGAAGCTTGGTTTTATGAGGCTGTTATCTGGCATATCTATCACAGAATAAATGTGAAACTTTGCTTTCTGCTTCCCCAATTTCCAGACAAGGTGCCACTTTCGCATTCCATCCATTGCGACTGCTGCCGACGAATACCAACACATTTCCCTGTGAGGATCCTCCTCAGCTATCCATCTTCTTACCTTATTTGCTTTAGGACATCTATTCCCTTCCTTTTCCTTCTCTTCCACAGGTCCTCTATTGCCATGTGTGAGAAACTGCGTTCTCTTTCCCTTGCTCCTTGAGCCACCCTTGAAATTTATGTTCTGTGTTAGTTAGAAAGCATACTTAACACCTTAAATGGAAACTGATCCATATATCACTGCAAGAAGATGCTTCTAATGCTAATAGTGCTTCTAATTGATTCTTGCTCAATCTGCAGTTGATTGTATACATATTTAAATCATTGTAATGATTGATTATCTCCAAAATTGCAAACTATAAAACATGCCTTTTTAGGCCAAGATAGTATCTTTTCACGGCTCTCAAATTTTATGAAGAGCTTGGAATTTCTTTTCAAAATGTGTTTATTGTTGTGTGGGCAAAATATGTTTGTCAATTATAAGAGGTCTTTTTGGGGACTTTCTGGTCACAAGCCTTTACTTCCTGCTATGCAAAATGGAAATTGTCTGCATATAAACATTTTGTAGAATTCTTGCGCAGTGTTTCCTATGAGAGTGTAGTTGTGGACTTTGCTGGTAGATGGCAGTGTGATGCTTTTAGTTCCCATCAGTGAGCATGCATAAACTTCAAAATATATCAATTCTGTGGTAACCTGCAATTTGCCTATGAGTTCAAAACTTTATTTGAAAATAATTTCAATATTTGTGTGCTTGATATTTCTCAATGTCTGGGCTACAGTAACTGATACAAATTATGATCATTATGCTTCATCACCCACTGACACATTGCTTTCTGGTTTGAACTTACAAATTTAAAAAAAAATGTTTTGTACCTGCTTTTGGTTTTCTCGGTCAAATCATTCTGAACCACATCTTTTTCCCATATTGCTTTTTTTTATTTTTCCACTACCCAAGAGGCACGTGATGGCCTTTTAAATATTCCAGTAACTACAGTTGTCTCTTGGACCCTTCAACTGATTCCGTCATGTACTTGGCTCAGCCTTATTTCTATCCGAACACAAAAATCAAAATAGGGATGAACGAAATGCTGGAATTGCCAGTGATGCCCACACCCCATGACTAAATATTTTTAAAGAAAATCTAATCATGTCTCTCCATGTCCCAGATCACTTCACATTCAATTAATTCATTTTTATTTGAAGTGCAGTGGCTTTAGCTACCTGGATTTAAGAGCAGAGATATCAAATTTAATAGATTGTCATACTTTTTATCTTTCCATCTACCAGATCCAGTGGAATATGCAAATAGTTTAAATCCAACCTGAAGGCCTGTACTATCAACAACAGAGCACGCTATCATAATGTACTGAAGTGTCTGTTTCGATTGTGATTTTATTTAAAAAAAAAAAATTAGAATGAGACCTGAATCCGTACATCTCTGACTTGGAGACACAAATATCAAGAAATGAGTCAATGGCAGCGTTGTCTTCTTGCTGTAAATGTCTGTAATTTTAGAACACAACAAATTATTGACATGTGAGATTATTTTCATAGCTTCCGGTTCACCATTGACTCAAAGTATATGATGCAGTATCAGGCAGGCATTATTCTTGTCCAGAATCTATGGTTAAAACTGCTTCAGAACTTGCTTGTATCAGAAACTACAGTTTTTAACTTCTTTGCATGTACGATCCAGAGGGTTGCAAGTTTTACTTTCATTTTAGAAAAGATTCTAAAAATATGCATGCCAAGGTGGTTTGATATGCCAGATAATTATTTTTGCACCAAGTACTTATGTTGTTTCTTTCTGTGGTGCTACATTGATGGAGTGGGAGGAAGTTCCTGTTGAAATGTTTGGCGGTGGCTACTACATCTTGTGGTAGATTGTTCCACATCCACTGAGTAATTTGATTCCTATTCTTCAATAAAAAAAAAACAAAATGTCTGTTTTAATAGCTAAAAGAAAACTAGTTGTTCTGACTTCAGGTACTTATGATGTCTAAATCTGCACTAAATGTTATTGTTAAATATTGTTACCAGTTGGCATTCCCTTGTTCAATAACTCCTGAAAGTTTCTTTGGTCCCATCCTTTCCTGAAAGTTGATCTTAAGATCTACATTAGAATTGTCCAGTATTATGACATTGTGATTTATGTAATTGAGTGTGTTTTGGAAAAGTAACTAGTGTCATGCAGTGTCTCAAGTGATTAAACTGTTGGAGAAGAGGCAAGCAAATTGGTGTAAATAAAGAATGCAGAATTAAATCTTAATGATTTAAAGTAATGCTTAAGTATGTCTGTTGGACTTTGTTCTAATTGTATCAATGATTTTATTTTGTTAGGTTTGCAAATTTAGAAGGAACATTTGACCAGAAGAAAACTTCAGTGCAGTGATACCTATGTTCTGATAGTTGAACCTGTAGTTAACATTTTTAAAATCACTTCAACCATTTAGTAAAACTGGAAACAGCTCGACCAAAACTGCAGAAAAGAAATTGCTTGAATAAACCAGATGTGGGCTTGGCAATGCCGCAGGTAGGTGTGTTAACTTTTTCCATAAAATTCCTGACTTTGTAGTAATAACAGTTTGCTTATATTCAGAATGAATTAATATTTGAGTCAAGATTTACAGTATGTTTTTAAAAACTACATTGCTCAATGTTTCCAAGAGCCCATGTTTTAACCCACTCTGATTTAGTATGAAAAATAATGACTTTACCACAAACAAATCTATACTATTAATGTAAAGAGATAATTATTACAGTTACATTAACTGCACAGCGTTATTAATTGATATTAATTTGCAAAGTGGCTTGTAATTCAAAGATTACAATTATTAAAATAATTCCATTCATAATTAATATTGTTTGTTTATAATTAGAAATATGTCATCATTTTTAAGGCTGTGATACATGATTTTGTTTTTCAAGCAAGTTTTATTTTCAAATCCTGTGTCTCATAGTTTTGACTGTACTGTAAATACCAGGAACATGCCATTCAGCCCAACTGATCCATGCCATTGTTTATGCTCCACCTGTGCCATCTTCCAACCTTCTAACCCTATTATGACATTGTTCTATTCCTTTCTCTGTTTTGTGTTTTATGTAACTTTCCCTTGTACGTATCTATTATTCAGCTCAATTACACATTCATGCACCCTGAGTAAGACAATTTCTTCTCAATTCTTCATTGGCTTTATTAGTGTCTACACTTATGTCTATGGCCTCTGTTCTGGTCTGTTCACAAAAACAAGCTGAAATATGTTTTGTATACCCTGTTAAACACTTTATTATTGTGGTGGGTCTCATGACATCTTATTTCTGGAAAACGATTAGTATGAACCTGTTCAATCTTTTCAATTCCTAGCAAGAGCGACATTGTATAGATAGACTTCAGTAAGCCGTTTGACAAGATTCTGCATGGTAGACTGACTAACAGGTTAGATCACATGGAATACAGGGTGAACTAGCCATTTGGATATGAAATTGCCTTGAAGTCAGGAGACAGAAGTTGGAGGGTTGCTTATTGGACTGGAGGCCTGTCACTGGTGGTGTGCTGCAAGAATCGGTGCTGGGGCCACTTCTTTTTATCATTATTATATAAATGATTTGGATGTCAAGGAAGATTACTTCAGAGTACAATGGGACTTTGGTCAGATGGGCCAAGGGGTGGCAGATGGAATTTAATCTAGGTAAATGTGAGGTGCTACATTTTGGTAGGGCTAATCAGGGCAGGACTTGTACACTTAATGATAAGCTCCTGGGGAGTGTTGCTGAACAAAAAGACATGGAATGCAGGTTTATAGTTCCTTGAAAGTGGAGTCACAGGTAGACAAGGTAGTTGTTGCAGCTGTACAGTATATTGGTTAGGCCACTTCTGGAATACTACGTTCAATTCTGGTTCCTCCACTGTAGGAAAGGTGTTATGAACCTTGAAAGGATTCAGAAAAGATTTACAAGGATGTTACCAGGGTTAGGAGCGTTTGAGCTACAGGGAGAGACTGAATAGGCTGGAGCTATATTCCCTGGGGTGTCAGAGGCTGACGGGTTACCTTTATACAAGTTTATAAGATCATGGATAGGATGGATAGTCAAGGCCTTTTCCCCAGGGTAGGGGGAGTCCAAAACTAGATGGCATAGGTTTAAAGTGGGAGGGATAAGATTTAAAAGGGACCTAAGGGCAACTTTTTAAACGCAGAGGGTGGTCCGTGTATGGAATGAACTGCCAGAGGAAGCAGTGGAGGCTAGTACAGTTACAACATTTAAGAGGCATCTGGGTGGGTATATGAATAGGAAGGGTTTAGAGGGATATGGGCCAAATGCTGGCAAATGGGACTAGATTAATTTTAGGATATCTAGTCGGCATGGATGAGTTGGACCGACTGGTCTGTTTCCATGCTGTATATCTCTATGACTCTAACTACCAGTCCTGTTATCCTTCAGGTAAACTTTACAGCTACATCAGTACTTCTATGCCCTTTTTATAATATGGAGACATATATACTACTATTTGAGTGATCAATCCCTCTTTATTTTGTATTTTAATCCATATGAATTTTAAACCTAACCTTCTATTACTTAAATCCCATTTTTTTCCCCCGCTTCCATTGTTACTTTTAATTAGTTGAAGCTCCCCATCTTCTCTTTCTTCCCTATTCTTTCTGATTATGTTATAACTTTTTATTGGTAGCCCAATTCTTTATCCATGTTTCAGTTATCCCTACTATATCTGGTTCCTCTCTAGGTTATTGCTTCAAGTTACCCTTTTTTATTATGGATAAACACGTTGCTGTACAGACAGCTTAATTTGAGGATGAGTAGTTTCTTTTCCTTTATTTTTAACAGTCTTATTATGTTTTATCGAAACTCTATTTATTCCCTGGCCATTCATCTTGCCGTCATCCTTATCTTATTCTTGCTTGTATTCTTATCTCCTATTTCTTTTACTTTTTATCTTTCTTCCCCATTCCAGGTTTCTTTACTGATTTTTGTGGATTGACAGAAGTACTCATCCCAAACTCGATTTTTCATCTATGAATATTTCATTCTTGCTTTAAGAAAACTGTTAAGTGCTCATGGGTAAATTGAATTCTGACAACTTCAGGTGAAGCATCCATGTGTTTGATCCCCTAATGTATTTGAATCTTGTTATAATTTGTAATCTGTGAAATTTAGTAAATATGATAAAGATTAGAATGAAACAAACTGATGCTTTTAGTATGGGAGGTTATTTCAAATATCAGGATAGGAAGTTTAATTATCAGGAGAAAAAGAATAAGCCCTGTCATAACTCAGTAAACAGGTTTATAAACAATTGAAGTATAACTTTTCCAGACATTTCTCAGTTGCTTACAGGAATTTGATTTTAATGAACTGCTCTCCTAATAATTTGTGTATCCTTTTATTTTATAGCCCAATGTTACTGGAATGGATCCTCCATTTGGGGATGCCTTTTGCAACCGCCCATTTCCAGACCAGGTCTTAACCAGTACTGATTTGTTGGGGAATAATTCAGATCCTGATTTCATGTATGAACTGGTAAGATTCATAGTATACAAGTAAATTTAACAACTTGTTTACTTTGGATGTTTCACTTACCACCTGCTATTTTTTCTTTTTGTGGTTACTTATATCTTTTTGTCAGTTGACTTGCCTTCTTTCTTAAAGACACTGGCTTTTTATGTGGTATAGTTCCATATTAATAACTTGATTTAAGTCACTTTAATCTAGTTCACAGCTGACAGTTCTTCATGTTTAATTGTAGACAAGGTGCCATTTCAGGCAGTTAATCCTGAAAGCCAGATTACTGTAAAATCTGACTCTGTCTGCTTCAGAGTCTGCATAATAACATTTTCTAGTTGGAGCCATGGAAGAGCAAATGAGAACAGGAACTTGAGTCACCCATTTAAGTGCTTCTCTCTGGAGTATGAAGACGCTAAGTCATGACTCTTCTGGTGGTTCAGCTGAAATTATCAGACAGTTTTTAAAACTAATTATGTCTGCATTTTTTACTCTATTTGTTTGCCAAGATTTATTTACCCACTTGGGCCAACAATCTATCTGTGGCTTTGTTTGCTCACAATCTGTATTTGTTGTGCAGACTTGAATCCACTATAAGCATCTAATTGTAGTTATATCCTAATTAAATTATAAAAAAAATTCTGACTTTTGGTGCAGGAGGAGAAAACTTAATTTTGAGATAAAACCTTTTTATTTTACTTCCAGTCTAGTTAATATCTTGTTTTATTAGAATTTTTTTATTTCTTTCAGGACAGAGAGATGACTTACAGCTCGAGAGATGATCCTGTTACCTTGGGAGATTGTAAAGACCTTGAACTTTTAGAACCATTAAATGAGTTACTCGATTCGGATCCTTCGTATACTTCAAACTGGGAGCAGTGGGACACATGCTGGGAAGACTTGACAAAATACACCAAGTTAACTAGCTATGACATTTGGGGAACAAAGGAAGTGGATTTCCTTGGGCTTGATGACTTTTCCAGTCCTTACCAAAATGAAGAGGTCATAAGCAGGACCCCAACTTTGGCCCAGCTAAACTGTGAAGATTCACAGCCTGTTTTGGATTCGTTATATCATCCCGATCTACTCAAGAGTTTAAATCAAAATTCATTAACCTCTTCTCTGGCTGGTAAAAAACTTCCAGCAAACAGGGCAATGCCACTGGTGTCATCTGCCAGAAGTCCTTGTATAGATGCTTGCATGCCAGAGACTACCCAAAAGCTAGCCAAATCTGTTTCTTCCAGTGCAACTGTGGACAATGTCAACACAAATCAGCCCCTCAATACCAAAATAGGGCCTGTTCTTGTGGACAACAAAGACTTTGTTAAAAAAGCTAAAGTCTGGATCAATCCAGTACCACTTGGTAAATCAACATTGGGTGCTACCCAGATGCGCAGTGACTTACCAGATGATTCCTGTTGCAGTGATATTGGAGCTAATGCCAGGAAACTGGAGAAAAAGAATGTGGAAAGTATTTATTCCAATAAAGCACCCATTGTATTCAAAGAATCTAATGACCCAATTACTCGAACTGAAACTGCTGAAATTTTATCACCACCTGTCTCTGATCACACCCAGAAAAAGGAAGAGCACAATTATTCTTTGTTCATTTCTGATAGTTTGAATGAACAGTCTCCGAGTATTCTTCAAGAAGCAGAAGATGACGATGATGATGATGATGAGGACCATGATGAAGGATTTGGTAGTGAGCATGAATACAGTGATAATGAGGAAGATGATGACGATGATGAGGAGGAGGAGGAGGAGGAGGAAGACAAGGATGATGATGTCAGTGACACCTTCTCTGAACCGGGTATTTGTGCTTTATTATGTTAAAACTGAAGTAATGTTTAACTGTTCAATAACAAAGTACTCCAGGATTTTGAGTGAGAAGGAGAGCCATTTGCCTCAGTTACTCTGTATAGGTATTTATACTTCACAACAGCGTCCCGTTTCATCTTGCATCAGAATTTACGTGCTTATAGAAGCTTTGCAGCTTTCGAGTTCAGATTGTTGCCATATTTATAGTATTTTAAAAAAAGTTATATCTCTTTTGTTTATAATCAAATTATAAGTTGGCTATAATACTTTAATTTGGTCTCAGCACATTTTATATAGACACCCTATTGCTGTTTTCAATATGAATTAATAACTGGGAGAAGGTTATTGAAATAATTTTGCTGAAATCCAAAGGAAATAATAAAGAGAAATTCAACCATTTTTAGATTGATATTTTAAAGGTAACAGTATCATTTGATAGCATATATGGTTCAGTGTAGAAAATATTATATGACACAATATGGTATTGATTGTGAGATAATGGCTCAGTTGCAATGTTCAAGGTACAGTTTTTAAAATGCAAATAAAATACCAAATTACATCAGCAAAGAGTATAAATAAAATTAGGTGTATTTTTGTATGTGATAGAATGTTGCAGCATAGGAGGAAGCCACTTGGCCAGCTTTGCTATTTTCCTGCAGGCTTGTTAATATTTTTCCTTCAAGTATGTCTTCAATTCCTGTTTACACTCTTTAATCTGTTTCTACCACCTTTTCAGGCAGTGCTTTCCAGATCAAAAGAAGGCTGTTTTTTTTTTAAATTTCCTGATGTCACCTATGATTTATTTACCAATATTACTGACGGGCGGCACGGTGGCTCAATGGTTAGCACTACTGCCTCATAGCACCAGGGATCCGGATTCAGTTCCACCCTTGGGCGACTGTCTGTGTGGAGTTTGCACATTCTCCCCGTGTCTGCGTGGGTTCCCTCCGGGTACTCTGGTTTCCTCCCACAATCCAAAGATGTGCAGGCTAGGTGGATTGGCCATGCCGCTGGTGTTCAGGATGTGTAGGTTAGGTGGGTCACGGGGGATGCTCTGAGGTTCATTGTGGATTTGTTGGTCCGAAGGGCCTGTTTCCGCACTGTAGGGATTCTAGAAACAAATTATTTGTTCTCTGGTATTGAACCTTTTGGAAATGGTCCCTGGAAATAGTGGCCATTCTTTTATTCTGTTAAAAACATTGAAGACTTTTAAAACTCTAGCATGTGACCTTAAATGCCTCTCCTGCAAGGTGAACACAGCCAACTTCACACCTGCCACATAACTGAAGTTCCTTGTTCCTGGTACCATTCTAGTTTCTGCGATCTCTAAGACCTTGATATCCTTCCTAGAACATGGTGTCCTGAATTGAAATCCATACCTTTTTAGATGCAAAATTGTGGAGCAGGTTGCTTCAGCCGGGTCTCATTCACTCTGTTAGTTCTTCTTTTCTCTTTTCTTCTTCTTCTTAGTGCGCTTTTGTTTTCTTCTCTTTCTTGTTCTTTCTTTCTCTTCAACTCCCAACGTCTGTCGAGCAATGACCCCCGGCCTGGCGAGGTGACTTCCTGGCCTGGCGCAGTGGCCGCTTCCTGGAACCAGGGCCCAGTGTGGACTAGAAACTAGGTGCTAGCGTGGTTTGTTGTACTGAACTTTTATTTCTGTAATGCTGGTCATTTTATTTCTCTGTTGTCTAAGATCTTGTAACAAAAGAAGCTGTGTCTAGGTACTTTTGTATTTATGTCAGCGCTGTTATTGGGGACGTATAAACTTTTTACTATATTCAATGAGTATATGTGACAATAAAGGCCATTCTAATTGTAATCCTACTTCAGCTGTGGACTGACCAACATAAGTTTCTGACTTGCATTCTATTTCTTTATTCATAAAGCTGATACAGTAGTTTGAAATAAAAGCAGAAAACATTTGAAATTTTCCATCAGATCAAGCAGCTTTTGTGCAGTAAGAGACAGTTAATGTTTCACATCAGTGACTATCCATCAGAACTGAAAGAGAAGTTTTGAAGCAGTGAAAGAGGCGAGAATAGTGGGGAGGGAGAAGCAGAGGGGAACATTCTTGACTGGCTGGAAGATGGAAAAGATTAAATGACATAAGAGTTGGTGAAGAAAAGCCAAAGTAAGGGATGACAGGGAAACAAAAAAAAACTGTATAATTGTCAGGAATTTAAGTTTACCATGTGGCTAAAACAATTTATGTTTTGTATAGAGTGTATTTACAAGAAAATGCCCTTCAGTTCCTAGTGTTATTTTCTTATACTGCTACTTGTAGCGTGTTGATAATGCATTTTTTTTCTTGTGTAAAGGATTTGAAAATGACACCGTAGATGACATAAAGGATGCAGTAACAGGTACCTCCAGAAAAAGGAGCAAACGAAGATACTTCTGGGAGTACAGTGAGCAGCTGATGCCACCACCCAAGCAAGATCGAATGTTGAAGCCTTCTGAATGGGATAGGGATACTTTGCCTAGTAATATGTATCAGAAAAATGGTTTACACCATGGTAAGCTGAAAGAAGTTAAAATTTATTTCTGGTTTTGCTTTGCTTCAAATTTTAAACCTAAAATCTGAACTGCATTTACTGCCAAAACACAAGTACAACCTGTTTAGTGATTTGTTAGTATTATATCTGAATGTTTTATCCCTTTTTTTGCCAGATTACACATTTTTCTTCAATTCTTTACCCTTGCCTAATAGTATGTTACATTACTAGAGCAGGAAAAAGCAGAGCAGCCATCTCTTTAATAATTTCACAACTGTTGTATAATTTCTTTACCTCTGAGCTATATAATGATCTTTTCCGGCTTAATTTCTTCCATAACTAGAACTAATATCATCACAATGAAGAATCTTGTTTTCTTTTTAGCTAATTATCTGGAAGCTACCTTAGAAAACTTCCAAAAGTTTGCTATTTCTTCTTCTTTTATGTGACTTGCTCTTTGTCTCATCATTACTGCTGCCAACACCACAACTAAATTCAATACTGACTCCAATTGAAGTGCCATTGCTTTGTTGGGTGAAAGTGCTGAGTCAATAATGTCCTTTTCTGACAGAGAGCAGTGTTAAGATCCAAATTTAATAAATGTTGTATATTTTTAGAGAAATGCTCTAAAATATGATCCTTCAGAGTGTTTATGGTTATCAAAAAAAGTTTTGAAAACGTGCACAGCCATTCACAATTGACATTAACCTTACCGTAAAAGCCAAATATAATGCAACCAAGAGATTTACAATTTTGAGGTTTTGCCACAAGGTATATGATATAGAAGAATGTTTTGACAGTACGTGGTAGCAAGATTAAAAACCCCTTCCACCAATGGGGTACTGCTGCGTAATGCAGGAATTTCAAAGAAGCTACGTTATCAAGTAGTCTCTGTCTCTCTCTACAATTCTAAATGTAGGTACCTTTTCACATGTAAATAGTTTGTGTAAAACTGTTCAAAACCGAGCATGTTATAGGTTTTCATATGATTAGGAAAGTCGAACTGCCTCTTTTGGCAGGGAGAATGGGTTGTTATGATCCCAGTTAATGTTATTACCAGCCAGGGTGGGGATCGTATTTTAATTCATTTTGATTCTAACAAAATGAACTCTCACTGAAACAAAAGCATGCAATGAAGCACGTTTTGCTTTAAGAATAAAACTGACAAAAGAAAAGAAGTGAAAGTTGAAATTACTGCGCAGAGGCCAGTGACCCATCACTAAGTCACCCTTTATACGTATGTGCACGTTACACTGACTGTGGCTAGCCAGCTTGGAGTTAGGTTATGAAACTCTGAGTCCCCTGTTTATATCTCTCAGCTAGGTTTCTCTGATCCAGGTTAACAATCCCAATCCAGGATCTCATAGTCAATAAGAGGTGTTTGATTCCAATCTCTGAAGGCAAAATAGAATAAGCCAATATATTTATTATCAATACATGGTCAAAGATTTTTAAACAGTCCCGTTATTCCCAAAGTTATCTTCTTCTTTTGTTTATTTTCAATTCTAAAACAAAATCTTTTTTATAGGACTGAAAACACTGCTCCTACAATTTGACCGTCCCTATATCTAATACGTTGGTAGGTTTGAATCACTTGTGGCTTCAGCTTTTAGACTGGAACTGTGATAGCTTCTCCTGAAGCTGTTATATATGTGTTTAAATGTACTCTGTTTTAAGAAACCTCTTCAGGGTTTTATCTCATTTCTGGTCTAGAACTAATGCTAACTCTTCACTCAAAGGTAACTATATATAGTTCACTATATATCCTTCCTTTCTAGGAGCACTCATCTTCATGGCCATCCTGTTCCAAGGGCTTCATAGGACTGCCCCATTTTAAAATAAAAACTGAAATCAAAAGTCTCCCTCTCTAAGCTATGGGTGTTTCCCTTAAGCTTTAAAGCAAAAGTTTAAGAAGTCTGTTACAAACCTCGAGGCCCTGTGATTTACCTTTGCTGGGTCACAAAACCATCTGAAATAAACAAAAATGTGTTAGGGGTGTAGAGAACCCATTCATTCTAGAGGCAGGCTTTAAAAACCGTCTTAAAAGAAATTACCATTGGTTCACACATACTTGAAGTTAATAATTAACTTCATACGCCTGTAAACCCACGTGATACTAATTCAAAAGCCAGAAATCCAAACTTGTAATAAGTTGTATTCTTTTTAAAAATTAAATCCCAGGGTTTCTATCACAGTGCAAAATTATTATCTTGCTCTTGTGTCTGAGCAGCAAAGTTTAGAAATGCATGAATAGAAAATTGAAATGGCTAGATTAACAAAAAGAGATTATTGCTGAAACAGCATTGCAGTAGATGATAGAGATTTGGGCCTGCACACTTGCAGCATAATAAGAAGGACTTGTAGAGCAAAGGTGAAAACATTAAAATGCACCCTCTGTTAAACTTGCAGTGTCTGAATAAAGAACCTACGTATAAAGCATACATGGGTCAAAACAGTATAATGATAGAAGCTGGAGACGTGCATTGTTGCTGTAGCCTTACTGCTCCGGGGTCACAACATTAAAATGCATATTTCCCAATTACTGAGATGGCCAATTAAATACCTCGACTATAACGTTTTATAAGTAAAATCCAAGTTTCTTAACACAATTATAAGTTTTATTTGATAATAAAATTAACTCAATGAAGATGCAGTAATTGGTTGCCATTTACAGATCCTAATGTGGAAATATAAATGTTTATCTTTCTAAATAACTCCGAGAGGAATTTACAAGTACACATGCTCTCATACTCCACGTAAAGGATTTAAAATACTGATTTCTGTCTTTGTAGATGTTCACTTTAAAATAAAGGGTGAAAGTTTCTGGCTTTTATGGTTATTCTTGAATGCAAAAAGGCCAAGGCATAGAATGTTCTGATGTTCTAGCATGTGTGTTTGTCACTGACTAGGCATGGTTCTCTTTGGAATCTTTGCTGACATTCAGAACTTTTCAGAAGACTCTCTCATGTTCTCAATAATTTTTTTTTCAGAAGTGGGGCTCCTCAGCTCTCTCTGCTTTCAGATGGGCATCTTGGTCCCCAATCAATTCTTTCCATCCATTCACTGTTCAGCTATTCCCAGCAAAAGTCTAAAGCGGAATATGCAGTTTTCACCAGTCATGTGTTCTCGGAAGCCTTGTGTTCACAGTGATTTTTCAACAACTTTTTGTTTTCAAAAAAAAAACACTCCAGCTATAGAATCATATATTGTAGAAGAGACCCTTTGGTCCAGTTAGTCTGCACTGACAAAAATTACTCTAAATCTACTCTTCTTCCATTTTACAGCACTTGACCCATAGCCTTGAATATTATGAGATTTCAAATGCTCATCCAAGTACTTTTTAAAGGTTATGAGATTGCCTGCCTCAACTCCTGGCCCAGACAGTGTATTCCAGATTCCCACCAAATCCTGTGCTTAAAAAAATCTCTTCTAAACCCCTTGCCTTTCACCTTTACAATTATGCCCTGTTATTGTTGACTGTTCAACTAGGGGAAATAGCTGCTTTCTATGCATTCTGTCCATACACTTGGTAACCTTAATCTTACACACCTCAATCAGGTTGCCTGTAACTTACCCAGCTCTAAAGAAAACAATCTGAGCTTATCTTCATAGCTAAACTGCTCCACCAGACAACACCCTGCTGAAGGTCCTCTGCACCCCCTTTATTGCAAGCATATCCTCACAAAAGCGCAGTAACCAGAACTGCACGCACTACTTCATTTGTGACCTAACAAAGTCTTGTACAGCTCCATCATAATGTCCCTGCTCTTATATGCCATGATTTATGAGGGCAAGTGGTCCAGGTAGATGCCTTAACCAAGCTATTATCTTGTCATGCTGCCTTTAAGGATTTTTGGACAACCACTCCAAGATCCTCTCTTCCTCTGAGCTTCCTCATACACTGTCATTCATTGTCATTGCTTCTTCCAAAGTACATCGCCTCACACTTGTCAGGATTGTATTCCATCTGGTCAATTCATCTATATCCTACAGTAACTTGAGACCTTCTTCCACACTGTCAACCACCTAGCCAATCTTCATGTCATCCGTAAACTAACTTGTTTTCTCTCTCACCCGTGCAAAAACTTGCACACATTTTCTTCTGTATCATTTATATATTTCACAAATAATAAAGACCGCATTGATGCCTGTGGTCCACCATTGGACATGGTTTTCCATTCATACAAACAGCCTTCTACCATCATCCCCTGTCTCCTACCATTGGCAAATTTTGGATCCAAGTTACCAAGTTATCCTGGATCCCATATGTTTTATCATCTTTGTCATTCTTCAGTGTGAAACCTTGCCAAAGGCTTTGCTGAAATCTGTAAAAACTACGTCAACTGCACTACACTCATCTACACATCTGGTCACCACCTCTCAAACTTCAAATTTTTAGGTATGACCTTGCTCTGACAAAGCCATGCTGACAATTTCTGTTCAAACTTTATCTCTTCAAGTCAAGATTAATTCTCTGTCTCTCTCAGAATTTTGTCCAATAGTTTCCCTACCGCCAATTCCAGACTCACTGGTCTGTAATTCTCTAGTTTATCTCTACCACCCTTCTTGAAAAGTGGAACCACATTAGTTGTTCTCCAGTCCTCTGGCACCTCACCCATGACCAGAGAGGAATTAAAAATTTGGGTAAGAGCCCCTGTATTTGTTCCTCCCTTGTCTCCCACAGCATCTCAGGACCTGCGGATTTCTGCATAATTAAACCCATCCAAACCTCTAATATCTCCTCACTCCATATGTCAAACTTCCCAAGAACCTCTTAGTCCCTCTTCCTGAATCCTGTAGCAACATCCTCTTCAAAGAGAGGGCCGATGTAAATTTGTTCGTTTAACACCTTAACTCTGACTCAACACACATTTGTTCCCTTGGTTCCTACCTTGGGGTTTCTCTCTAAGCTCTCCTAAATGCTTTCAGGAGTTTATTTATTCATTCACGAGATGAGGGTGTCGTTGGCAAGCAGCATTTATTGTCCATCCCTGATTGCCCAGCGGGTATTTAAGAGTCAACCACATTGCTCTTGTTGTACTTTTGTACTCCAGTGGGGTCTCTGTTGATTTTGCTTCCTTTGTACCTGTTAAAAGCCTCTCTTTTCCTTCTTGTCCAATCCTGAACATTTCATCCAAAAGAGAACATGCTGGGCATATACTCTCACCAAATCCATTTTCAACGCCCCTTGCTGTTCTACTGTAGATTTATCCAGAATTGTGCCAGTCTACTTTGGCCAGATCCTGCTGCTTTTTAATAAAATCTGCCTTCCCAAAATCCAAAACCCTTTTTTTGTTTTGCAGATAATCTTTTACCTTTTCCATAACAAACTTAAAACAAACATTGTTGCGGTCGCTTTCATATCTCTTGTTGGACCTTCTACATGTTGATTATGAAAAGCTGTCCAGAATACATTTTGAGAAATCAGTCGCTTTTAAACCCTTCGATACTATCACCAACACAGGGTGTGTTGGGGGGGAGCGTGGTGGTGGTGGTGGTGGTGGTGTGTAATATGCTGCCAGCATTGTGATTGCCCCCTATTCATTCCTAAGTTCTACTCGCCAAGCCTCATTTGAAGACCTTTTCAGGATATTGTCCTGCCTTAATTAATAATGCAGCACTGCCTCCTCTTCTGCACCATCCCTGGCCCTGCCTGAAGATCCTACATCGTGGGACGTTGAGTTTCCAGCCTAGTCTCCCCATCAACCTGAAATGGCAGCAACATCACAATTCCATGTGTCAATCTACAACCTTAACTCCGATGTCTTACGTATAATCAGCATTAATGTAGACGCCATCCGGCCTCGCGTACCAGCATGAAGCTCAACATGGTTGAATTCCCTCTTTTTTTTGGTTCCTTTACTGACATGTGCTGTGTTCTTATTGTCCTACGCTCTGTGTTTAAATTCCTCCCAACTTGGAAGGATGTTGGTTCCATTCTGGTTCATTTGCAGACCGTACCACTTGTACAGGTCCCACCTTCCCCAAAACCTGTCTCAATGATTGAGGAATCTAAAATCTTCTCTCCTGGACCCACTCTTGAGCCATGCATACATGTTCATTATTCTCCTAAATATATACTCACTAGCATGTAGCAGCAGGAATAATCTAGAGATCTCAATCTTTGAGGTCAACATCTTCCAGTACAGTTTCAACACTGGCATCTTTCCAATAATGTGGAAAATTACCCAGGTATGTCCTTTACATAAACAGGACAAATCCAACCCGGCACTTACCACCCCATCAGTCTACTGTTGGTCATTGCTAGAGTGATGGAAGATGTCATCAACAGTGCTACCAAATAGCACCTGCACAATAACTGAGTCTGGGTTCCACCAGGGTCATTCAACTCTTGAACTCGTTACAGCCTTAGACAAAAGCACTGAATTGCAGAGGTGAATTGAAAGTGACAGCTGTTGACATCAAGGCTGCATTTGACCGATTGTGTCATCAAGGAGCCCTAGCAAACTGAAATCAGTGGGTATCGGGGCACATTCTCTGCTGGTTGGAGTCATACCTGGCACATAGGAAATTGGTGTGGTTTTTGGAGGTCAACCATCTCAGCTCCAGGACATCTATGCAGGAGTTCCGCAAGGCAGTGTCCTAAGCTCAACCATCTTCAGCTGCTTCGTCAGTGACTTTCCTTCATCATCAGGTCTGAGGTGGGGATGTTCGCTGCTGATTGTGCAAGTTCAACACCATTCACAACTTCTCATACTGAAGCAGTCCATGTTCAAATGCAACAAGATCTGGACAATTTCCAGACTTGGGCTGACAAGTAGCAAGTAACATTTGTGCCACAAAAATACTAGGCTATGACCATCACCGATAAGAAACTATCTAATCACTGCTCTTGATATTCAGTGGTCTTACCATTATTGAATCCCCCACTAAGAGCATTATTGGGGTTACTATTTACTAAAAATTCAATTGAATCTGCCACATAAACATAGTGGCTACAAGAGCAGGTCAGAGGCTAGGAATACTGCGGTGAACAACTCGCCTCCTGACTCTCCAGAGCCTGTCCGTCATCTATAGGGCAAAAGTCAAGAATGTGATGGAATATTCCCCACTTGGCTGGATGGGTGCAGCCCCAACAAAGCTCAAGAAGCATGAGACCATTTAGGTCGAAAGCAGCCTACTTGATTGGCACTGCATCCACAAACATCTATTCCCTCCACCATTGACGCTCAGTAGCAGCAGCGTATTCTAGCAACAAGATGCACTGCAGAAATTCACCAAAGATCCTCCAAAAGCACTGTCCAAACCAATGACCATCTCCATCTAGAAGGACAAGGGAGGCCGATACATGGGAATGCCACAATCTGCAAGTCCCCCTCCATGCCACTCGGCACCCTGATATAGAAATGATATAGAAATCTTTTCTTCACTGCTTGGTCAAGATCCTGGAATTCCCTCCTGAATGGCATTGTGGGTCAACCCAGAGCATGTGGACTTCAGTAGTTCAAGAAGGCAGCCCATCGCCTTCTGATGGGCAATAAATGCTAGCCAGCCAGCAATGCCCACATCCCATAAATGAATTTTTTTTTAAAAAAAGTAGAAACTTCCCAACTCCACCCACCCTTTGTGCATCTGTCCTTCCTTTTGAATCACAGAAGGATTTTATCTATCAATGAGATTACCTAACCTCTAAAGAATATAAACCCTGTCTCTTCAATCTCTCTTTATTGGACATCCCCACCACATCAAGAATCTGTGGGGTGAACCTTTGCCTTTCCCCTTTGCAAGCAGGATTTAAAGAGCATCTTAAAAGAAAGA